TCGGGGTGCACCTGGGATCCAAACTGGTGAACCCCGACCCGCCGCAGCGGAGCGCGAGCACCCAACCGCTTGTGCCACTGGGCCGGCCCCTCAAAATTTTTTATCTATAGGAGCATATTCCCAAGAGTTGTGCTGAGTAGGCTTACGTCATTCATTTGGCCTCTCTTCGACTTTTACCTTGCTATTGTTATATTTTTTGGTGGTGGAAGACAATTTGAGGTTCAAGCATGCACAGTTGGAAACAGCAGAAGTTCTTCTGAACTCTTAAATCATCTAGAGTGGTCATACTGGTTTCTAAAAGTTTTAAAAAGATTCATATATAGAATTAGGCTTTTAATCCAGTCTGTAATGGAATAAGTTACACTGAGCTTCTGCAATAGTATGATAAAGTGAGAAGAATGCTGGGAGATGGACTGTTACTACTGTGGTTTATATGGTTTCAGCAAGGAAATTTTTAAGAAATCTGAGCAAAGGTTTTTTTGGTATCTGATTATAATAATGGGCAGTTAATAAAATACCCCTATTATGATACTTAGAATTGGCAAAGATTTTATCAAAGCAAGCCATTGTTCCTAGGTTAAGTCATCTTATCACTGCTTATGCTTTCATTTTGGCTTTGGTTGTCATTCTAATTATATTTGAGTGTTTAACATTCGTAGACTTTCCAGGTTCTCATTTTACCTATTCTTTGATTAAAATAAAAAATTTTTAGTAGTGCTTATTTAATAGGTTTTCAGATTTAAAAGTCATTTCTGTGAGTATATATTTCTCTTACAGTAAATAGGTATTTAATAAAAAAAATACTCCATTGCACTTGCTATGATTAAATTGATATGCTCAATTCTTTGTCATCAATATAAATAGTGTTAACTACTTGTTTAATATTAGCTTTTTGTAAAAGTGGAAGAGATGTCCTATAAGAATTTACATAAAATCAAGAGTTTTAACATTACATAATTAAAATAATTAGTAATTTTTATATTTTATGTAATTATTAAACATATAAAACCATGCTACTAGTTGGATTAGCACTACTCTTCTGGGTAGTAATGTTTGTATGTGTCCCAATGATTTATACTTACAATTTTTTTAATACTATCAGAGTACCTTTAGAGTCATTTAGTTATTTCAGTTATCAAAAATTATGGATTAAAACAAAAATCTAAAGACTATTCACCCCAATTTATTGGAATATATCCATACAACCCTGCTCTCTGCTGTTTTGTTGTTGATACTGTGTTTGAAAGGAAGATGATCCCTATAGATCAAACAGTAGGTTTTTAAATAATTTAGCGGTTTAAGGTAAGCTGCTCTCACTATCCCTCTCTATTTTTTTTTTTATTAATTGTCTTTATGCTTGGCTTGCTTCTTCCTTTGTTTCAGGTTTCTGCTCAAATGTCTCCTCATCAGAGAAGCCTGCTGTCACCTCCCTATATAAAACAGTAACCACTATCACCCTCTGTCTCTTGGCACTGCTGCCTGCTCCCAGAGCACTAAGAACTACATGACAGTACATGACATGTTATTTAGTTTATCTGTTTGTCGTCTGTCTTCTTCAACTAGATTGTGAGCTGCTTGAGGGCAAGGGCCTTGTCTTTTGGGTTCACTAGTGTATCCCTAGTGCCTAGAACAGTGCCTGGACATGGTACATGCTCAATAAATATTTGCTGAATGAAGTAGTTGGTTCATAAATAATCTAAATAGTATGATAGAGTTTTACTTTTATTTTTTCCCTTAAAACATGTTCATTAATGAGTTAAAAATATTGTTTAAAACAGTTGTCTCTCAATCTAGCTGTGTATCAAAATTACTTGAGAGCTATATAAACTGTAGATTCTCCTTGATTGAGTAAATCAAGTTTTAATGGTGAGTTAGTAGCAGTTTGAGGTAGAGTTGGTGATGGCGGGTTGTAGGCTCAATCTTGAGTCCATAACTTAATTTTTTTGATCTCTGTCCATAAACAAAAAGCCTGCACACTAAGTTGGCCTACACTACCATTATGTTTTAAGAGCTATTTGAGTTAGGAGGTGGGAAGGAGTGTCTAGCATCCTAGAAAATGCAGTATGGCCTCATAACTCTAATATTAGAACAGTGAAAAGAAAATTCAGTTGGGAAAAAAGGTATACTTGAGGAGAAGGAAAAAACATTAGTTCAAGTTGATGAATTCCCAGAATTAGATATTTTGATTCAATGGAAATTCTTTGAATCCTTAGGTAATAGTTAACATGATCAAATAGAAAGAATAGCTTTGGAGCAGCTTTGTAGAGGGAGGAAGAAGAGAAAACTTTTTTGGGAGTGGACATACTAGGGATCCAAAGAGAATTGTCTGAATGAATGATACGGTTGTACAAATGAAAAGTTAGAGTTTAGGAACAAATTAATTAAAATCATGTCACAGGTGGCCCTGGGGTAAGGATGGGCACCAGTACTGGTGTGTTTATAGGGAGATCTCAACCTGTATATGCTTTCTCCCACATACATTCTTCACTCTGGATGTCATGAAATTCTTGTCAGTATAGGTCAGAGGTTGACAAACTTTTCCCTCTGTAAATGGAAAGATAGTAAGTATTTTAGGCCTTATGGACCATATGATCTCTGTTGCAACTACTAACTCCGTCATAATAGTGTAAGAGCAACATATAAGCAAATGAACATGACTTGTGTTCCCGTAAAAATTTCTTTACAAAAATACACAGCAGGGGCTGGCCCGGTGGCGCAGTGGTTAAGTTTGTGGGTTCTGCCTCAGGTGGTCCAGGGTTTGTGGGTTTGGATCCCAGGCACGGACCTGTGCACCGCTTATCAAGCCGTGCTGTGGTAGGCATCCCACATATAAAGTAGAGGAAGATGGGCACGGATGTTAGGCCAGGGCCAGTCTTTCTCGGCAAAAATAGGAGGATTGGCAACAGATGTTAGCTCAGGGGTAATCTTCCTCACCAAAACAACAAACAAACAAATAAACAAAATATACAGCAGACCAGATTTGGGCCATAGTTTGCTAACCCTTCCTTTAGGTTAACAAAACCCATCTTTTTCATGATTTGAAAAAATATTAACCATTTTTTAACACCTTTCGATTGAATTAAGGGAATATACATTAAGAACATTGAGTATGTAAGTTTTATTTAAGAAAGTAATTAAAAAACTGATATAATTGATTTTACTCTTGTGATTTTCTGCTTCCTTAAAACATATTTTAAATCATTCAACTTTAATATCTGAATCTAGTTTTTTTTCTTTATTGGTTATTTAGTTGGTTTTGTTGGGAGATGAGGTTGACACTAGTCCAATCTGCACATTCATAGATGACCCTATATACATGTAGGCTTACATGCACATGCACACTCTTTATACATGTATACATATATGTATATGTCAGTGAATATATATTTATGTTATTCAATAATATTTGTAAATTATGTACATAATTGAATCAATTTTACAAATGAATTTAATCAAGAACAGCTCAAAGAAATTAAAATATATAATAAATTAGTGAATTTGTTCAACTTCTGTTTGAATTTTACTATAAAAGCCATACTTTTATTAACTTCATAATTTGAATTTTTATTTTTAAAATTAAATTACTGTTTTTAAGGCTTGAATCAATATATGTCCTTGGACATTTCTGTTCATCCCTCTGTAAATTGTTTTCTGTGCCTTAACTTGTAGAATATCTATATAATGTTAGGGCTAGAAATAGAGCCAATATTCTTCAAAATTATGTTTCCATTGTCTATAAGTTAGATACAACTCATTCAGTAATAAGCTGTAATTATCTTTGTACATCACGAAGTACCAGGTAGTTCTTGGAAGGCATGGATAAGGATGCCATTTTCCCCTTATGTTTACGGATAATCTCAGTCTGTGATCATTGTATGGCCAATAAATATTGTTGACTGGCAGGAAGATATACTATCAGGTAATGAAACACGAGGGACTATATTTTAATGACCATATTTGGCCACTGTTTTAGGTCAGGTGCCTATATACTATTGATTTAATCTCAGGACACAAAAAGGTAGGAAGCATATAAATAAAGGAACACATCTGTGCCAACATATATAGCACTTCAGCTTATATGTATTGTGATCATACGTTTGTGAAGCATAGTCATTATGATTTTTCTATAGGTATGAAAGCCTGTGTTACCGTTTTCTACCCAGAATGCGAACCTCAATAATTAAGACCGTTTTCTTTATCTTTTGTGTCCCTCAGAGATTTCTATTAAAATATTGTCCAAATAGTGGAGATCTAGTAAATACTCATTTGGGTTTCAACATGGAAAATGGTTATTTAGTTTTAAATGTTTTAACAAGTTCTCGAAGTGCTTACTATATATTGGTTTGAGGGGGAAAAAGCACGTCAGTGTATAACGTTGGTAAAAATAAATTAGTAATGTATTTTTTTAGTTAGAGCATTGTGTAAGTCTATGAATGATCAAATTTGATCACAAAGTTACTGAGCTGTTTACTTCATAAGTCCAAGTAGAGAGTAGCAGAGAAATCTCTATTTTTAATATAATATGTGCCAACAAAATTAATGTTTCTAAGCATGTGTTTAGGTAGGGGTATACACAGGGAAGAAATCACATAACATTTTAAAACAGATTATGATTCTGTTAGGTCTTTTTAGTCCTGGGTGGTTAAAACTTAAGAAATGGTTAATATGTCTAATAAGGTGAGGGATGTTACATTACTTAAGAGAGCACTGAGTAGCCAAAGGAAAGGGAGGAGTTATTTATTCCTCTTTCTTAAGTCCAAGTTGTGACTGCACTTGACCCAGGACGTATAACAAGTGTGCTAACCATTCTACCATTTAAGTTGGAGATTACTTGAAAAGTAATCTAAGCTTTGGGTAGTCCTGTTTGCTTTGTAATGCTAAATTTTAGATAAATGATGAAATATGGATGGTTTTTATGAATTATTTCTTGTTTAGATGAGAGATCTCCAGCTGCTCAATATGTAGACCTGTTGCTGAACCCAGAGCGTTACACCGGCTATAAAGGGCCCTCTGCATGGAGAGTGTGGAACAGCATCTATGAAGAAAACTGTTTCAAGTAACTGGAGGGGGCCAGGGGAAGGAGGAGGCCTGACTAAAGGGAGGGTGGAGGAAGGGGAGTATTGGCTTCTGTTGGAAAAAGTTCTATAAAAAAGTCAAACCATTTTGAGTTTTGTGCTTTCTTTTACAGGCCTCGATCTGTTTATCGTCCTTTAAACCCTCTGGCACCCAGCAGAGGTGGGTTTTTCATACATCTTCGTGCTTTTACCAATTGTTTACAAAACATCTTTCTAACTAAACTTGAGAAAATTTTCAACTATTTTATATTTTGCTTAATTTGAATGATCAAAAGTATAAGATTAGTTCACAGGTTTGTCTCGAGATTTCTACATTTTATGTAATTACATTATTTGAGTGTCATTAATTGAGTGCCTGATATGTGCCAGGCCCTAAACTAGGAACTTTGTGTAAAATAAATTAGAATATATGAGTAATATATATCAGAGGTTTCCTGGGGGACTCTTAAAAATCTGGATGTCCAGGCCCTATCCCATACCACTTAAGTCAGAATCTTTGGGACTAGATCCAGGCATTGGTATTTTTTAATCTCTTTAGATGACTCTAGTACGCAGCCAAGCTTGAGAACCAGTGGCTCATAGAGTGCTTCTCAAACTTCAGTGTGCATACAAATGACCTAGGAGCCTTGTTAAAATACAGGTTCTGATTCTGTGGGTCTTGAGTGAGGCCTAAGATTCTAACCAGCTCCCAGGTGATGCCTGGGGTGCTGATCCACGTAACCACACTTTGAGTCATAAGGATGTAGAGAAGTTTCAGCAAGTTAGGTTGCCTGCAGCACTGCTCTAAACCTGCACTGTCCAAGAAGGTAGTCACTTGCTTCATCGAGCTATTGAGCACATGAAATGTGGCTAGTGTGAAACTAAATTTTACATTTTGTTTAATTTTAGTTCATTGAAATTTAAAAACTAAAGCAGTGTAAAATATTTTTGCCATTAAACAGAACTTGATTGTTTCGGTGGGACTACTTTAACTCTTGTATCACATAACACTGTTGTAGCGCATGTATACCTTTTACCTTTTAAAATGTAGATATTAGAAAAAATTTTAAATTGCATATGTGACTGGCATTGTATTTCTGTGGGATAGCATTGCTGTAGACAGTTGGAGGTTATTCAATACAGCACTACTGGGCACATCCTCAGTCTGTTCTCAACGAGGAGCCGAAGCCTGGGAGCAGCCCTGTAATTGATTTGCCATTCTAATGTTTGCTTTAGACCAGGATTGATTTAAGAACTTGAATTTCTAGGTCTAGATTTGTATGTTTAGGCATTTCAGAGAGCCAAAGAGACTTAGAAAGGTTGAGTGAATGGACTGCTTTTAGATGCTCACTTTATCACAGTGTGGCAAATATTCTTCCCCAAATTCATTTTGACACTCCCTGGAGAAGGGAATTGGATCATGAAAAAGGCGTGCATGGCTTCTTATCCTTTGTCTCTTTTACTCCTTTTACATCATAACTTTTCTGTTTTCAACTTAAATGTTTTTATTACACAAGATTTTATAAAAATTGAAGCAATACAAAAGTTATATAAAGTAAAAAAGGAAAGCTCCCCCTGCCTCCACACGCTTTCTGTTCCACAGTACTGAGTTTGGAAGATATTATTCCCGACTTTTCAATGATCACTTACTTTTAAAGCAGAAAATATAATTGTTCATTTAATAAAACCATCAAGTCCTAAGAAATACTTCACTTCCATATTATGATAAATTAGAGACATGAGACTGCTGGAAAGATGAGGAGAGGAAGGAGAGCATTATATAGGAAAAGAGGGAGGAGTGAGGAGAAAAGAATAAAAAAGAAACGTGAAAGAGGGAGATAGAAGACTAGGTAAGGGGGAGAGAATGGGTCCTAGCTGATGGGTGGGTTCTCCGTGAAGTAATTAAATAGCTCTTGCTGATGCTGTTTGTATGCAGTCTCCATTGAAACTGCTAATTGTTGATTCACAGCTCTTTAATATTCTTGCCTTAATGTTTCTTCCACATTATTCATGAGCCATAACAGCTAGGCTTATACAACTAGCTTTCCAGCAACTTTTGAGCAACAGAACCTTTTTTCCAAAAATGAAATCATATCAGAATTCCATATATAAATCTAATAAAGGCAGAGCTGCTGTGGAGCCCTAGAGCCCAACCTTCTGGCCTCTTCCCCCTGTCCAGGCAGGCCTGTAGCACCTGCAGTGAGGATTTCACTAATTACAGTTGGGGAAGTACTTTTATTAAGGTGTATATGTGCTGAGGAGCAGTAATTTAAAAGAGAAAAGTATTCCAGCATGGAAACAATAATGTTCAGAGAGGGTTGTATACATAGTGATTAAAGAAGTGGCTTTGTATATTTGTTAGTTAATTATTGAAACTTGTGGTCTTTATGAAGTACTTTTAGTTGCTTTCTTATAGTTTATTGTATGAAACACGTACAAGTCTTGTATTCTTTGGCCAATATTCTTATTAAGAAGTCTCATTTGCAGGATAACTACACACTGACCAAGGTTCATGGTATAATTAATAGCTTAACACAGCAAGTTTTAATCCTATAATAAATAAAATTGGAATCTGAACTGTAAGACATTTTCTAAAATCCTGTCTATTGTTTTCTCTTTCAGGAGAAGATGATGGTGAGTTAAAACTCTTGTGTTTGTGTTTGCTTCAAGTAGAGGAAATGTTTTAACTATCAGATTTGATTTTTCCTCTATTTAATTCAAAAGAAAGTATTTATCCTATTTTTTCAGAAAATAGCTACCAATGAATGGTGACAAAAAAGTAAGAGTATTTTTTATAGTATAAAGTTATCCTATGTAAAAAAAAAAAAAAGTATAAAGATCCTTTTACGTAAGTGTTTAGTTTAGAAACCAGGATCACATTCCAAGTTCCCCATTTTCTGGTTATTATAATCTAATGGAATGTGTTCTGAAGAAACAGAGAGAAGTTAAGATAGTTTTACCAGATAATTTGTCTTGTGACTTCATTTTCTTATTGACTTTTATATTTATAACCTCAGTTATCATTATAATACTTAATCTGATGAGTAGTGATTTATCAACAATTGGTTACTGCAGGTTACTGAATATCAGTCATAAGGTGCCCCAAGACAGCCAAAATAATTATTTCAAATGAATGTTTACTTATCTATGTTGAAGGGCACTGTGATGGGCTTTTTGCAAGATAGAAAGATGTATAAAACATGATGCCTTCCCCATAGGAGCTAACAACATATAGCAGGGGTGATAAGCACTATACATAAACAATGATAAAGAAGTATTACATACATAGTACCAACAGGTGATATAGGTCTTTAGAGGTGGAACAAATCGTAACTCACTGGAGTGATATAGGAACGCTTACTGGAAGAGGTGGCATTTGAGATGAATTTTAAATAATGGGGCAGATTTAGGCCAGTAGAATTGGATAGTATGTGCTATTTGGAGAAAGTAGCATGGACCAAGGAGTTAAGAAAGGAAAAATCAAGCATGTTTGGGGATACCCTGTTAGCAGGAGGAAAGTCTTTATATAGGGGGAGTTTAAACTGGAAGGATAAGTAGAGGCCAGGTTATTGAGGACCTTGAGAGCTAGACTTTTCCTGTTAGCATCTGGGGGTTTTTGAATAAACAAGTGAGATGATGATGAATGATCCTTACTAAGTATGTTGAATGAATGAATCTGTAGGAAGATGTTTGTGTTGTTTTGCAAAGTGTGAAGACTCTCAGGAGGCAAAGTAATTCCCCACCATCTAATTTATCCCTTAGACTCCTTGCTCAGCTCATCTATGTTTGCGTTTTTCTTATCATGCTTTGCTTTTCTCATTGAAATAAGGATAGGTAACTTAAGAAATGCATTGACTATTTTGATCTTTATTGACATTTTTCCCCCACTCAGGAGAACAGTGTTGGGCTAGAAATAATTCTTTTATCCTTAACTACACAGATAAATCAGGCCTCTCCATATTCTAATCATTCATTTTTTCTGAAGAATTATCTTGAAAATTAAGAGATTTCTTATTATCCTTTGAAACTTAGTAGTCTTAGATAATTGAGGCACTATATCTAGCTTTACTGGCTCAGGAAAAATGGAATAATTAATAATTTAATTTTTTAAATTATAATTCACTATTTTTTCTGGAATTTTAAAACAATGCTATGGTTATCATCAAAAGCAAATTTAAGATTATTAAACTCTTTCCCCCCATACTTATGGATGTTTAAGCCTTCTAGTGAATAAGATTTACATAACATTTTAACTGAAATGTTTTCCCAGAAATTTTACTAGTCAAAATATCATTTATAAGAACATTCTCCCAAAATTAAATTACTTTTGGGCTTTATTTTCTAGAACCATATGCCTATTTTTCCACTTCACATGAAGCAGTGGACATTATTTTAGAGATATTCCTTAATCTATCATAAGGAATATTTGATAGACTTAATTTATTCTAATTTATAAATGACTATTTAAAATATTTTAACCCAATTCTGTGTTTTTTTTAAGGAGAATCATTCTACACATGGCTAGAAGGTAAGTTTCTGTGCTGCTTTTTAAATTTATTGGCTTCTTATAAACAATGTATTGATTTATTTAATAAATTTTTGTAAGTTTTAGGATTCACTACCCAGACAACTAATTTTGACAGTGTTTGAAAGAAAATAACATTTTAGGTTATTGTATTTTGGGATAAAATTATTTGAAAAATTTGGTCAGCCAAAACCTAGCATTATGGAAATACACAGGGCAGATACTGTCATTAGGTTTTCATAACTGGTTCCTGAGTCTTATTTCCATTTTATATGTAATTCTCATCCAAACTACTTTTCTAGTAACCATTATGCAAATCTGTTTTTTTAAGTAGAGACATTCTTTTTGGAAGGAAGTACTTGTTTTATATATGAAATTGAGGGAAGGTAAATTTGCATTCAGAAGATTTTTTAAAAACATATTTACACATATTAATATAGTCTAAACTTGTCTAATTAGAGGATAAGCGATATAGATCCCAATATTTTCGATACTCTTGCAATCGTATATTTTCTAGTGTTGAAAATATAAAATGTTATTAATGGAAAGCTGAAACATTCTAGGATTTTAACAACTTTGGTTAATAACTGGATATATGATGCTTTTAAAAATTTTACCAAATTGCCATTAATTTATGAAACCAAAAGTTAAAATATATTAATGAAAGATAAGCAAGTTGAATGATATAGGAAAATGGATATTCCATAGCCATAACCTTACAGGAACTCTAGAGAGATAAACTAAGTAGTTAATTCTATTTTATGTTTGTTCATCAGTCATGTTATCTTGTGATCATGATTTCTTTTTGTTTTTAATAAACTATGTGCATATATTGGCCATTACTAAAGTGAACATTAATGATGTGCAAATACTGCTAGGAATTTTATTGATAAATGGCCTTTGTGGAAGAAGATGCTTAGCTTTGTTTAATTAGCTTTATTCTAAAGATACAAATTGTGAAAAGTAGTATTTAGGTGAAAAGAGGTGGTCAGAGACTCTCCATATTGATCATGGATGATGAGAATGAAATTGATGGGCAATATTGGATAGTAGAGTATATTGTATTAGCCACTCTTCTAGTATCCTACTGATGGGAGTCCCTGAATATTGATACATTGTTCCAGAGGGCACTCCTATTTATAGGCAACTGACTCAACTTTTCTAAGATTCAGTTTCCTCATCTGAGGCACAAGAGTGGCAGTAGCCATCCAGCTTACCTACACTGTGAGTGTAGGTGATGCCTGTAAAAATTCTTTGAAAAATCACTAAACAGTGTCCAAATGCCAAGTCATACTGTTAAAGTAAATCTATAGCCCTTTTGGGAGAGAAAAAAATATATGTATCAATGTCTCATAATTCAGTTGCCGAAAATGAATTTGCATGAAATTAAATCCAAAAGAGAAAGAGGAGAACCACTTTCTAAACTGAATAGTTGAATTTGCTCTGTATTGTTAGAAATAGGAGTTGGTGGATTTTGCCCTTGTAGATCAGCTTTCAAAGGTGTTACTCTGAGTATGACTGTGAAGGCTTTTGCTTGGACCTCAGTAGTCAGAGACAGCATCGGGCCTGGCAGCAGACTGTAGGTGGGGAGAAGCTCTCCAGCAGTTTTCTGCTAAGTGTGTTGTGTGTCTTGCTGGTGCACTCAGTTGGCACATCTTTTGTTATTACCATTCTGCTTGAAGTTACCTAATTTTCACAGTTTATGGAAGTACATTTTTACTCCATCTTGCTCATTTATCATGCATCCCCATTTCAGGTAAGGAGCTTTGTGGGCTTTCTAAATTAGAATTGCTTCTTAGTTTTTCATGTTCTTGTTCTTAGGCATATGAATTTTCACAAGCTTTGCTTTACTTTGCCTATTTTCCCTTCTCTAGTCTTTAGACATTTTACTGGATATAAGCCTGCTTAGAGAGGTAGGTTGGAAGGAAAAGAAAGCAAACTTCAAATCTGATCATTTTGCTACTTGATAACAGATTTAATTAAGTTTTACTAGAGAAGAAGTTAGTACCTAATGTTTTATCAAATTTATTGATATTGTTTGTATCCTTTGTTACCCTAAACATTCAAAATGGACCATATACTTTTATGAGGAAGCTACAAAATAGAATTTAATTTCTACTTTTTGTCTTCATGCATGACAATGAGAATATTCTAGCAAGAATTCTGAATTAGGGAATGAGATCTCAAATTAATTATTTTTTCCTATTAGAAGCTAAGTGCTTCAGAGCCATCTGTGGTAGAACATAAAGGGGAAACTAAAGATCTTTTAGATCTTGAAAAGATGTAAAGTAAGCCACATAACATACTCTTACATTTTAAAAATCCCTCAGCATATAAATTAGGTTATTTCTTAGTTTCCACTATTGAAGCCCATTTTTCCCCATGGGGAGAGTGTAAAAAAAAACAAAAAACAAAACCAACAAAAACAAAAACCTCTGTTGGGTGGTAAGAGAGGGAAAAAGTTAATTGTTCTGCATCCAGAACAGTGGATTTTTAAAACTTACCTTTTGCATATTTATTTTTAAATTTTTCTATAAAGAATATTTTGTAAAAAAATTTTTTGTGGTAAAATATGTACAACATAAAATTTACTATCCTAACCATTTTTAAACTTAAGTATTTAGTGGCACTAAGTACGTTCACAGTGCGTATTACTCTTATAGTAAGAGAAAATCTTTTAAGATGGAGCCCCAGGGGTAGGATAGGATGGTGGAATTATCTTGACCTTTATTTTGAGCAAAAGCCTGTGTGGCTTAATAAGGCTACATAAGACAGTTTTCCATCATATTCCTGAACTCCATCTGACATGATTCTACTCACAGTAAATGGTCATACATTTTTTTATTGGTGAAATTCCTGGATGTCTGTTTTCCAAGTTTTGGCTCCTTACTGGAACATAGAGGAGCATATAGTTAAGTAGAATTAGAGAATTCCAGGGCAGAGGATTAAAAAGACACACTAAAGGATCTGGAGGAAGGAGAGAAACAGATTTCAATCTCTTCTCTCAGTATCTAGTAGGTTCAAAGAAAGAACATCTAAGGGAACAGAAAGGGAGAAACAGCTCTTGTTAAGCCAAAGCAGTGACTTTAATAATTATGTTTGCTTTAATAAAGTCTTAGCCTAAACCATGAAAAGTCTGTGCTCTTGCCTCTGGGTAACATGGGAACTTGCCAAGTGCATCCACAGTGTTTGGACCTCCAGTAGCCCAAACCTCTTCTATCATATTCTCCATCAAGTTATCATATTCCGTTAACTCCATTCTGAAGTTAGAATCTTATTTTATCTTCTAGTGAAAGAATCTTGATCTAATTATTTTATATTATTCCTTGATTTATTTATAATGTCCTTGAATCTTAACTTTAAAAATAAGCCTGAATACTCAATCTTCTTGATTCAGTATTTCTGTTATATAAATGAGTGTGATTTCTTTTTCAATATTTTTCTGAATAGGTTTGTGTCTGGAGAAGAGAGTCTTCTATAAGCTTATATCGGGACTTCATGCTAGTATCAATTTACATCTATGTGCAAATTATCTTTTGGAAGGTAATCAGATTTTTACATAGAAATTTTGCTTTCTATTAGTGTAAAAATTGTTGGGGGGAAATACATATTCTCTATAGAGAAAAAATATCCTACTTACTAAAAGTATATAATGTATTTCTCTTTCTCTTTAGAAACCTGGGGTAAACCTAGCTGGGGACCTAATATAAAAGAATTTAAACGCCGTTTTGACCCTGTGGAAACCAAGGGAGAAGGTCCACGAAGGCTAAAGAATCTGTACTTTTTATACTTAATTGAGCTTCGAGCTTTATCAAAGGTGGCCCCATATTTTGAGCGCTCAATTGTCGATCTTTACACTGGAAATGTAGAAGAAGATGCTGACACAAAAACCCTTCTACTGAATATCTTTCAAGATACAAAGTAAGAATTGAGTATCAGTGATTTGAAATTGTTCACTCTATTTGAATGTGAGGTAGTGCTTGAAATACAACAAAAACTGACTCCTAAAAGTTAGGAAAAGGGAGAATTAGAACTGAGAAGGAAAATGGCCAATAGAATAGCAGCAAAATTTAATTTTTCTATAAATGTTGACTAAAAAGCTTTGTTGCATTAACTTTCACACTTGAGAATAGGATGTTTCTAAATATAACTTTAAATTTTATGTAGTATGTAATTTAAAGCTATGATCATGCACCACATAATGTTTTGGTCAACAACGGACTGCATATACGACGGTGGTCCCATAAGATTAGTACCATATAGTCTAGGTGTGTAGTAGGCTATCCCGTCTAGGTTTGTGTGAATACATGCTATGATGTTTGCACAATGATGAAATTGCCTAACGACACAATTTCCCAGAACATATGCCTGTCATTAAGCGATGCATGACCGTACTTTAATGCTCTTTGTACCAATTTTGTAATCTTCCAGTTGCTATTTAAATTCAGATGGTCTTGTGTTAGCATGAAGATAGCTGAGGGAACATTAGCCTTACCTTCTAGAATATAACCTTTTAAAAAAAATTCTTGGTCTATAAAACTTGAGTTTACTGGTTGTTAAAATGAGCATGGAGGAAAGTTGGATTAAGAACTGTTTAAAGTATAAATTATGCATTTAATTTATAAAGACTTTTTAAAATGTTAAGAGGGTGTTGCATACTTTTCATATAAATTGTTTTTAATGTTTCAGATTATTTTTATCATGTAATTTTTTAAAACATTACAATCTTATAAATTACAAAGCCATCTGTATCTTACTTTAGTCTTTTATTGAATGATTTATGTGAATTGTTTGCTGCTGTTGTACATTACTAAACCTTACCTGAGTAAATAATTTTAAATATTTGTAGGGATAGAAAATTGTACCAGTGCTCTAATACACAGTACTTGAATTTTTCATGTAACTTATAATATTGTCATTTCATCAGGTCCTTTCCCATGCACTTTGACGAGAAATCCATGTTTGCAGGTGACAAAAAGGGGGCCAAATCATTAAAGGTAAAGAGTTCTTGATTGGGGGACAGAGTGGGGAGCAGATTACTGGCTGTGTTTTAATCCTATTCATGTAAATTCTTCTTTCCCAGTTCTCCAACTTGTTGAAGTTAGTCTGATTGGATTTTACTATAAATGATTTGAAAAGCCCTTTCTCCATACTTCCTTCTCATTTCTTTTCTCCTTCCTAGTTTGACCAAGTGCTTAGGATTATCTTCAGTCATTACTATGACCAATGAGTATGGCACCTTTGTAAGTGTCTTTCTAAGGTATTATTTTGAGAGAAAGTTTTATTTTGAGAGAAAGTTTTCTTACTTTAAAATCACAGTGTGTATTGTTTTGATGTGTCTTTCAAAAAATCATGAACTGTTAGCCACTTTGAAGGCAATAAATAGTATATATTTCTAAAGTGTCTTTTATGGAATGTTACAGTTTTTGAAACTATTATATCTTTGTCCTTATGGACTAACAAAAAAGGCAAAAATTACTTGTTAACCTGTGATATCAGAAGGAGAATATATTGTAGGAACATTATGAAACTTCACATTAGGAGCTCTTTGTTTTCCTCTGCTTACAATACTTTAAGGAATACACTGTACCCTTGAAATGTTCATAAAAGTATTTGAAATTGACTGGTAAATAGTCTTCTAGTACACCTCCACGATCTTTTATATGCAGTTGCAAAATCCAAAAAGCTCCAAAAACTGAAAGATTTTTCTTACATTTGGTGTAAATTAATTTGTTAGCTAAACCTACCCTGAACTTATGTAAGAATATTTATAGTGTTTTTTTTAAAATTCTGCTTTGTATGAATATTCTTACATTTTGTTGGAGAAACATTAATGTATTTGATTACAGGGTGTTTCATAATAAATAGCATATGTACTGTATTTCTAAAATCTAAAAAATTCTGAGTTCTGAAACACATTTGGCCCCAAGATGTTTTAAATGTGGATATATTACAAGAAATAGTAAATTAGCACTGAGTGATTCTCCATTGGTAAGAGTTTCTTGGTATTTCTGAAATTAAGTAAGTAATTTAGCCACAACTATATTTCAGTTTTGGAAGATTTGTTTTGTTATGGTTGTTTTAGAGTTATATTGCTATTATGGTATTTAAGATAATGTCAATTCCTTTTGGTAATGCTTTCTATTTTCTAAATATTTATACAAATATACTTTTGATCTTCAGAATGTCCTTGTGTAATAGATAGGACAACTATAATTATGTATCTTTTTGTAGATGAGGAAGGTGAGACTGAGGTTTTACAACTAGCTTTCAACTACAAAATGCTGGAAATTTTGTTTGCTGTTTTTCAAAGGTGTATAAAGGAGAACCTAAGTCCATTTTCCATCTGCTCCAAAGAACATGAATTACATGAGAATGGCGAGCAAAGGAGTTTTTGTGTTCTTTTTATATTGTCTTTCTTTTGGCCAAGGTATTGATTCCTCGCAACTCTTTGGGCACCTGGGCAGGGCTTGTGGTGGCCAGAGTTTTCAGGCTACTTGCTTCTAGCTTCATGCAATAAAATGTCTACCTCAGTACAATAAAATGATTTTTATGTTTAAAGTTTGCCATGGGAAAAAGTTGAGGGAACTTTCTCTTAACTAGCGTTAACCTCAGATAAGGTAAGACTGACCTTAAAGTCATAGAAACCATGTACAGGTGCTCACAGTCAGAATTCTCCCCTGTATAGGAAACTATTACAGCAAAAGACAAGGATCCAGTGAGCAAGCATCCCTGGAGAAGCTGCATTAGCAAATGTGGGGTTGAGAGACCATATACCTTGTATAGCCCTATGATTATCGATGCTGTTCGGAGCACATTGAAGCACCTGTTACAAATATAGTGTGGTACTAAGGAGAGAGATGAAAATTGATCATTGTTGTAGGACTAGCTTTCTAATTTAGACTCACACAAAACAATACATCAGAATAAATAAAACATAAAATAGATATATTTACCACTGGTTGTATGCAGATATTAAATGGGAGCAGCAGTTAAATTCCTTAAAAGTAAAAACCATGTATTATTTACTTTTGTGTCCCCTATAGTGCATATCTTGGTGCTTTGCATAGAGTAGCCCCTCCATAAAAAAGTTTGTGGAATTAATATGTAGAATGAATTTTATAAATTTCCATTAATTTAGTTGGTTTATGTGCCATGTTATGCAATACAAATTCAAATATTTTTCTTCAACTGTGGAAAAACACAACTAAAAAACTTTAAAATAAACTTCATTAATAAATTCATTAATAAACTTCAAAACTTTATTTCTTATAATTCAGACAACTGCAGTTTGATTTTAAAAGTCTAATTAGAATGAAAATATTTTCTGCATGTTAGGAGGAATTCCGGTTACATTTCAAGAATATCTCCCGCATAATGGACTGTGTTGGATGTGACAAATGCAGATTATGGGGGAAATTACAGGTGTGTGTGCTGTCTTCTGTTTTGAAACTATTGCCTTAAATTTTTCCACTGAGGAGTTGAAAGTTTTTATTAAAATGTCCTCATTGTTCATTGAATTAGAGCTTAGAAATAGGCAGAGCCAAAGTGTGGTTTTTTTGGTTTTATTGATGAAAAAAATTAATATTAAACTCTGTGTGTTACATATGTATGTATAAGGATCCTTTTCCTATTCTATGTTAATGATTTTGGTTTTATTCATCTTTTTCTATTGGTACAATCTCAGATTCATTTCTGAAGTTGTTGGTTATAAATAGAGTATATTAGTACTTTATATACCTATATAAAAGGTAAACTATAATCATATAAAAAGACTTAATTATCAAATTTTGGTCACTGAATTTGTTTCAGTGATTAAAAGAAGGCCACATAGGGGCCTGCCTCGTGGTGTAGCGGTTAAGTGCATGCTCCGCTGCTGGCAGCCCGGGTTCGGATCCCAGGCGCGCACCGATGCACCGCTTGTCAGGCCATGCTGTGGTGGCGTCCCATATAAAGCGGAGGAAGACGGGCACAGATGTTAGCTCAGGGCCAATCTTCCTCAGCAAAAAAGAGGAGGATTGGCATGGATGTTAGCTCAGGGCTGATCTTCCTCACAAAAAAAAAAAAAGTAAATTAAAAAAAAAGGGCCACATAATCACAAAATAGGAAAGTTCTGCCACGCAGGCCCATTTCTCTATATATTCAGTATAAAAAGGATTGTTTGATATTTATGTCTCATTCTTTTACAAAGACGATATGTCAGAAAAAGAAAATGAAGAGATAGAATTATTTTAATGAAGGCTACACTGAAATCAGATTTTTTCATTTTCTCTAGTGCTAATAATTGAGAAATTATAAAGTGTAGGTATCACTAATAATCTCTCAGTTTTGAATTGCTAGGGGCTATAAAGAATGCTTTCAAGGTTACATATTGAATGAACGTTGTAATTCTAATATATTTTCTAGGTTAAAAAAGGCATTTTAGTAATTTGCAATAGGAAAAGAGGAAGACTATGAGATGGATTGATTCCATAAAGGAAGCCATTGGCATGAGTCTATAGAAGTTGAGTAGGGCTGTTGAGGACAGGACCTTGTAGACATCACTCATTCATAGGGTTGCCAGGAATCGGAGCCGACTTGATGCACATAACAACACAGATGACAGCCGACTTGATGCACATAACAACACAGATGACACGTGTCTAACAAATGTTAAACTATTCAGATTTCCTTAACAGCTTAGATAAATTTATCATTACATAATCTGTGAGGAAGTAGAAACTGTATTTTGCATAGTTTAACATGTTGGTGAAACAGTCCATATGAATTTCCTGACTCTCATCACAGTGACTGAGTATTTCTTTAAACCTTTATAGTAGTTGTTATTATATGAATTTAATTGTAAGCTTATCTTTAGACTCAGGGTTTAGGAACTGCCCTGAAGATATTATTCTCTGAAAAAGAAATCCAAAAGCTTCCAGAGAACAGCCCATCTAAAGGCTTCCAACTCACTCGACAGGAAATAGTTGCTCTTATAAATGCTTTTGGAAGGTAAGAACCGTTTTCACAGTGAAGACTTGATTCCCAGGCTGGGTTCAGCAAACTGCAAAGATCATCTTCTCTGCTAACGTAGTTTTTGTTTTGCTGGCAAAGGGATAGAATTATTATCATATATTATACCTGTACTCACTTGACTTAGAGTGTCCTTAATGCAGACAAATCACTTTCTCTACAGGTCATAGGAAAAATAAATAATTTCAGATAGCCAGTATTTCTCAGTTTGCCTTCTTGATTTTGTGGGGAAAATATTCTCCTAATAATATTCTCTTTAGCTGATTATAACTTGTTCAATTGCAGTAGCAGGAGTAAGGAAAGCTTGGTTGAGAAGATGATGAAAGAAAAAGAGATTAAACCTTTCAACTGTACTTTATTTCTAAAGCTGAGGAGGCATTTTTCTTTCACTCGTTATTACCCCATTTTTTTCTGTATATGGACACAGAGTTTGCTTTTTGTCTGTACCACAGGGGGTTTCAAAAATAATTTGAATTTGCCTACAGTGATACATGAGATACCAACTAACTGAGGAATACAGAACAGAAGGAAGAGAGTTATAGAAAATAATACTATGCTGCCCTGGGAAAAAAAGGCAAAAAGTCAAGTCAAGGAAGAATTTTTTTTACAAATTAGGGAACCAAGTGATACAGAGATTATTTCTTATGTTTTATTAACATCATTTAAAAAAATTTTGGGGGGGTGCTAATATAAATTATGTGGTGTTTTTTTAAATTTCAAATTCTACTTGTTCATTGCTGGTATATAGGAAAGTGATTGATTCTGTATATTAGCCATGTATCCTACAACATTACTATAATTGGTTATTAGTTCCAGGAGTTTTCTTGTCAGTTGTTTGGAGTTTTGTACAATCGTGTTACTTGTAAACGAGGACAGTTTTATTTCTTCCTTCCCAATCTGTTCTTATTTTTTCTTCCACTCTTTTTTCTGACTTTTCTGTTCTTTATTGATCAATTTATCTTATTCCATTTTCTCTTTTCTTCCCCTATCAATTATACATTTTTTAAAACTTTTTTTAGTAGTTGCCCAAGAGTTTGCAATATACATTTCTAACTAATCCAAGTCCATTTTCAAATAACACTATATTGCTTCATGAGTACTGTAATTACCTAATAATAACCAAGCATTCCCTATTCCTCTGTCTTGGCCCTTGTATCATTGCTGTCATTCATTTCACTTATACATAAGCTATAATCATCAAATACACTGTTACTATTATTATTATTTTGAACAAACTGTTATCTTTTATAACAATTAAGAAAAATAAAACTTATTTTCTTTATTTATTCTCTGATGCTCTTCCTTTCTTTATGTAGATCCAAGATTTTGACCTATATAATTTTCCTTCTCTCTAAAGAACTTTTAACATTTCTTGTAAGGCAGGTCCACTGACAACAAATTCCCTCAATTTTTATGTTTGAGAAAGTCTTTATTTCTCCTTCACTTTTTTTCTTTCCTTTTTTTATTCGGGTATAATTGACACACGTTATATAGTTTCAGATGTACAACATAGTGATTCAATATTTGTAAACACTGCAAAATGATCACCACAATAATTCTAGTTACCATCCATCACCATACATAGTTGCAAACATTTTTTTCTTGCAATGAGGACTTTTAAGATTTATTCTCTTAGCAACTTTCAAATATGCAATACAGTATTATTATACTCACCATGGTGTATAATATATCCCCAAGACTTATTTATTTTATAACTGAAAGTTTGTACCTTTTGACCTCCTTCACCCATTTCACCCACCCCGATCCCTCCTCCCCTCTGGCAACCACCAGTCTAATCTCTGTATCTATGAGCTTGTTTTGTTTTTTAGATTCCACATATAAGTGAGATCATACTGTATTTGTCTTTCTCTATCTGACTTATTTCACTTAACATAAACAAGATTCCATTCTTTTTTATGGCTGAATAGTATTCCTGTGTGTGTGTGTGTGTGTGTGTGTGTGTGTGTATGTATCACATCTTCTTTATCCATTCATCCACTGATGGCCACTTAGGTTGCTTTCATATCTTGGCTATTGTAAATACTGCTGCAGTGAACGTGGGGGTGCATATATCTTTTCAAATTAGTGTTTTTGTTTTCTTCAGATAAATTCCCAGAAGGGGAATTGCTGGATCATATGGTAGTTCTATTTTTAATTTTCTGAGAAACCTCCATATTGTTTTCTGTATTGGCTGTACCAATTTACATTCCCACCAACAGTGCACAAAGGTTTCCTTTTCTCCACATCCTTAGTAACACTTGTTATTTCTAGTCTTTTTTGATAATAGCCTTTCTAACAAGTATGAAGTGATATCTCATTGTGGTTTTGATTTGCATTTCCCTGATATTAGTGATGTTGAGCATCTTTTCATGTACTTGTTGGCTTCTTCATTAGAAAAATGTCTGTTGAGATCCTCTGCCCATTTTTTAATTGTATTGTTTGTTTTTTGGCTATTGAGTTGTATGCTTTATATATTTTGGATATTAACTTTTCATCAGATATATTATTTGCAGATATTTTCTCTCATTCAGTATGTTGCCTTTTCATTTTGTTGATGGTTTCCTTTGCTGTGCTGAAGCTTTTTAGTTTGATGTAGTCCCATTTGTTTCTTTCTGCTCTTGTTGCTTTTGCTTTTGGAGTCACATCCAAAAAATCGTCATCAAGATCAATGTCAAGGAGCTTACTGCCTATGTCTTCTTCTAGGAGTTGTATGGTTTCAGGTCTTGCATTGAAGTCTTTGGTCCGTTTTGAGTTAATTTTTGTGTACGGTGTAAGATAGTCTAGTTTTGTTCTTTTGCATGTGGCTGTCCAGTTTTCCCAGCACCATTTATTGAAGAGACTGTCTTTTCTCCATTGTATATTCTTGGCTCCTTTGTTGTAAATTAATTGACAATATATGCATGGGTTTATTTCTGGGCTCTCTAATCTGTTCCATTGATCCATGTGTCTGTTTTTATGCCAATACTATACTGTTTTGATTATGGTAGTTTTTAATATAGTTGAAATCATATGCCTCCAGCTTTGCTCTTCTTTCTCAAGATGCTTTGGCTATTTGGAGTCTTTTGTGGTTCCATACAAGTTTTGGGATTGTTTGTCCTGTTTCTGTGAAAAATGCCATTGGAATTTTGTTAGGGATTGCATTGAATCTGTAGATTGCTTTGGGTAGTATGGACATTTTAACAATATTAATTCTTCCAGTCCATGAGCACAGAATATCTTTCCATTTCTCTCTGTCTTTTTCAGTTTCTTTCATCAGTGTCTTAGAGTTTTCAGTGTACAGGTCTTTCACCTCCTTGGTTAAATGTATTCCTAGGTATTGTATTCTTTTTGATGCCATTGTAAATGGGATTGTTTTCTTAATTTCTCTTTCTGATAGTTCATTGTTAGTATATAGAAACACGAGATTTTTGTTTTTTATTGATTTTGTATCCTGCAACTTTACTGAATTTGTTTATTAGTTCTAACAAGTTTTTTGGTGTGGAGTCTTTAGGGTTTTCTATATATAAAATCATGTCATCCGCAAATAGTGACTTTTACTTCTTCCTTTCCAATTTGGATGCTTTTTGTTTCTTTTTCTTGCCTAATTGATCGGGCTAGGACTTCCAATACTATGTTGAATAAAAGTTGTGGGAGTGGGCATCCTTGTCTTGTCCCTGGTCTTAGAGGAAAAGCTTTCAGCTTTTCCTTGTTGAGTATGACGTTAGCTGTGGGCTTGCCGAATATGGCATTTATTATGTTGAGGTACATTCCATTTATACCCACTTTGTTGAGAATTTTTATCACAAATGGATGTTGAATTTCATCAAATGCTTTTTTTTTTTTCATCTATTGAGATCATCATATAATATTTATCCATCATTTTATTCATGTACATCACGTTGATTGATTTGCAGACATTGAACCATCCTTGCATCCCTGGAATAAATCCCACTTGATCATGTTGTATGATCTTTTTAATGTATCGTTGAATTTGGTTTGCTAATATTTTGTTGAGGAGTTTTGCATCTATGTTCATCAGGGATGTTGTCCTGTAATTTTCTTTTCTTGTGGTGTCTTTGGTTTTGGTATCAGGGTAATGCTGGCTTTGTAAAATGAGTTTGAAAGCATTCCCTCCTCTTCAGTTTTTTTGGAAGAGTTTGAGAAGGACTGGTATTAATTCTTTGAACGTTTGGTAGAATTCACCAGTGAAGCTGTCTGGTTCTGGACTTTTGTTTGTTGGGATGTTTTTGATTACTGATTCAATCTCCTTACTAGTAATTGGTCTATTCAGATTTTCTATTTCTTAATGATTCAGTCTTGGAAGGTTGTTCGTTTCTAGGAATTTACCCATTTCTTTTAGGTTATTCAATTTGTTGGCGTATAATTGTTCACAGTAGTCCTTTATCCTTTGTATTTCTGTGGTTTCTGTTGTAATGTCTCCTCTTTCATTTCTGATTTTATTTATTTGAGCCCTCTCTCTTTTTTCTTGGTGAGTCTAGTTAAAGCTTTGTTGATTTCGTTTATCTTTTCAAAGAACAAGCTTTTAGTTTTACTGATCTTTTCTGTTGTCTTTTTCATCTCCATTTGATTTATTTCCACTCTGATCTTTGTTATTTCCATCCTTCTAATAACGTCAGGCTTCATTTGTTCTTTTTCTAGTTCCTTGAGATGTAAATTAGATTGTTTGGGATTTTTCTTGTTTCTTGAGGTAGGCATGTATCAATATGAACTTCCCTCTTAGAACTGCTTTTGCTGCATCCCATAAATTTTGGTATGTTGTATTTCCATTTTCATGTGTCTCAAAGTATTTTTTGATTTCTCCTTTGATTTCTCCGTTGACCCAGTTGTTGTTCAGTAGCATGTTGTTTAGTCATACTCATTTAAAAATGGAAGCTTCAATGTTCAGTGTTGTTTACGTTCTTTTATTTTGGATTTTGCTTTCAAATTATAGCCTATATAACAATGTCAGTAATTTGAAATATGTACATATATTAGCTGTACTAATATGCTTTTTGTTTCCTCCTATAGGCTTTCTACAAGTATAAGAGAGTTACAGAATTTTAAAGTCTTATTACAACACAGTAGGTAATAAAGGCTTTTGTATGTCTAATTAGAGACATAAAGTGACTGTGTGAAGCCTTTTAGTCTTGGACATTCAGCAGAAAGAGACTAACCTTCAAAGACTTCAAGAATTCTGAACTCTTAAAGAGAAAATTCAAATGTTCACTTGAATATTTATGATTCTTAATAGATTATCAATTAGAGATATTTATAAATGAAGTATATACTTTTAAAACATGTAAGTTATACTAATTCTGTGTTTAATTTTGTATGTTTCAATCTGTTAAATATTCTGCTATTCTGTTTGTGTAGAATTGGTTTTGTTCTATGTAGTATCCTTTACTTCCAGTTGTCAAACTTAAATGGCCATGTCTCCATCCTAATAACACTGTTAACATTCTGTTATGGAAAAGGAGAGCTAGGGAGCAAGTGTTGCTTAGGGCTAGTATCAGTGATAAAAATTTATCAGATTTTAAAATGTGTTTTTAGCCTTGCCTAGCTCTGGGTGTCACCTTCTATATGAAAGTGTCAGTGTGATGAATGGCCCTTTCAATGTATAGTTAGAGAAGTTACTTAAGACTCCCCAGGACTTTAATTTCATTGGTTTTTATTTAGGATTTTAAATTGCTGTTGTTGTTACTGTTTTGTTTTGGTCTAAAGGACCTGCTTTGGTAAAGGTGAATAAGTACTGTCCCCTATGCCACCCAGCCAGATTTCATGTGTGTATAGTGGGCTGGCTCAAGAGGATTCTTTACTTAGAACCTGTAAATCAGTTTATTTCGATTTTTTGTTTCTCTGTCCTTACTCCAATTTTAGAAGTTTTTGTTTACTTTAAGAAAAAGAAAAATTGTATAAATATTTAAGTTTCCGTCTTGATAAAATTTGAATGGGATTATGTGGATTTATAATGTCAATTTAAACATTATATACACAAAATTTACTATTTTAAAGTAAGCATTTTTAAAGGATTTTATTTTATAATACAATCTATGCAATCCTCTCTCAATCTGATTTTCTTTGGTAGGATATTTAAGCAGGTAGGTTAGTTCAACCCTCCTTTAAACTTCCCCTCTCTCCACTTTTTCTTTTCATTTTAGTTCTTTGTATATAAATGGTACTTCATGTGACTTGTACCAACAGATGACTCCTAAGTCCTTGTCATTTTTCTAAACCTGGGATTTAAATATCCTTAATATTTAAAATATTGCTTCTTTTTAAAGGTGTTAGTAAACATAATGTGATTAATTTGGAGGTTGCGTCTGTGTAGAAGTAATGCGGGTACAAAATTGAGTTTCTCCTTAGACTCTTCAGTCTTTTATGAAGCAAATAAGTGCTCTTAAATCTGTATCTTATCCTGACAAAGTCTGGAATGTGTTTATTGATGATTTAGTGGCATATTTTAAATTGTATTTAGTTGGCTCACCCCTCTCTTAAAAATATTTAGTTGTCCCTTGGAGGAATATGGTTGGAGGGAGTAGGGTCTCACTCGTTAATTATTTTCTTACCCAATTTGTAACCTTTATAGACCCTGTTTTTTTTGTTGTTATTGATGGTGGTGGTGCTTTTTGTTAAGTCAAATAAAACAGGCTCGCTTGATTGGAGCCTCCTCCACGTTCTATTTTCATTTTTAGGGATGCAAGTATTGTATGGTGGGAGAGGGGACCTTAAGGTAAATTTGTCTAAAAAGTGAATATCTAAGTAATCTTGCTGGTAAATTAATAAGAATTATTCTTAGTGTTCATTCAGAGTTTAAGGAAATGTGAGAGTTTTGCACTTTGTGTCTATTATTACTATAAGTTTAAAATCTTTTTGGTAGTGTTACTTCATTCCCTCAGTTAAAGATAAAGGCTATTATTTAAACTATTTACTGGCGAAAATCCTTGGTCATTTCCATTTACTGCTTTTTTTCTTTACTGTGATTTGTTTCAAGCTTAGGAAAAACTGTATATTAGAGTGAGTTCTAGGAAATTAAAAGGTCTGGTTAGGGTAGAAAGTTCTTTTCAAGATTTTAACAAATTTTTTCATTACCAAGAAAATAAACAAATGAAGTATTCTTAAGCTGAAATTTATTTAACTTTATTACCATAAATTAGATTGTAGGGGCAGCCTACATTTTTGTGTACATGTATATTTCTTAAATGACTGTAAAAGCTGTAGGAATCTTTGTTTTGTGAGCCTGGTGATGTTTTATGATCCTTGTGATATAAACTTTTTCTAATCCATATACCTTTTGTTGTGAAGTGGTACTAGAGTACTGATTGCATTGTGAAAATGCCTGGCTGGTAATACCTCTTTGCATTTTGTCTGTTATCTCATCGCCTAATTTAAAAATCCAGCACTTGATAATATAACTGACAGAAATGATTGTACCAGCTGATGAAGTAATGAAAATGAAGAAAAGGAAAATATTCCTTCCTTTAATGGAATGAGTTTATTTTTTTCTTAAGTGGCATCTATGTTAAGTTAGAAATACTATATATTAAAGTTGGTAAAATTTGAATGTTTCTCCTGTGTTGATTCTTAGATTATGAGGAGGATCAGACAGAATAGTAATAGTATTCACAGTTTTGAAATTTGATAAGTCAGACGTTTTATTTTGACAATTTAAAGTGAATACTCAATACTTGTAATCTCTGTATTTATATAAAACACTGTGCCATACTTTCCAACTTTACCTAGGTGCCATTGTATATAAGAAAGAACAGCTATTTTGATCTTCATCAGCATTGCCTTCAGCTGGAAATTTGGGAACAGCTCACAATAAACCTCTCAGCAGTTTGCAAACTGAAGTACCTGCAGAAACCATAGCTACTCACCAAAATACACATACTGGGTGCATGGTATCATGGAATTATTTGGTAAAACAAACCAACACAGACACACACACACAAATTTGTGTACTTTTAGCATCTACAGGTACAGCTTTTATTTTAAACAGAATTCCATATAATCTGCTGTTGTACCCACCAGATTGTAGAAAATGTGAATTAAAGTAAATGTTTCTGCAATTTTTCTTTCTTGTTTTTTTCCCTCTTTTTAAATGCTTGCTTTTATAAGATGAAGATTTGATTATAATTTGTGGAGAAGGGAGAATATATATATAAGTAGTCTAAGGTTGTTTCCTATAACAGCAAGCATTGGCAGCCATTGTAGTAAGGGATTATTTAATCTTCACAACAGCACTAGTAGATAGGTACAATTACTTCTCTGTTTTACAAATAAGAAAACTGAGGATAAGAGAGGCTAAGTAACTTGTCCACAGTCACAAATTCTAGGTTGTGGGACTAGAATTTGAAACTAGAAAGTCTGACTCCAGAGCCTCTCCTCAGAATGTGGTGTATTTGTGTTATTTCATAAGTTGGCTTATTACCATTCAACTAAAAATTGGGAACTTCTTTTGATTTGTATTGAGTCATAAGGCTTTTTAAATATACTTATTTAATTTTTTGAATAGGTAATACATTCACATGGTTCAAAAACCAAAATATATAAAAAGCTATACAGTGGAATGTCTTCTTTCTGTCCTTGGCCCAACTTCCCATAATGCACAGCCTCCCCCCGCCCTCACCATAAATAACCTCTGTTCTTGGTTCCTTATGTTTCCATCCATACTTTTTTAGGCATATACAAACAAATACAAATGTAAAGTCTTATTTTTTTCTCTCATTTTTACCCAAAGAATGGCATCATATACATACTGTTTGCTTCTTTTTCACTTAGTTTTTCTTGGCAATCTTCCCATATCACTCGATAGCTTACTCATTTTTTTTTTTTTAGTAACTGCTTAGTAGTCCAGTATATGAATGTGCAATCATTTAACCAGTTGCCTATTAATGGGCATCTGGATTGATTCCAGACCTTGTATTTATGTCACTTCAGATGTATGTAATTATGTACTTGTAGAAAAAATTCCCCAAAAGGGACTTTTTGGGTCAAAGACCATGTGCATTGTAATTTTGAAAAATATTAGAATATTGCTCTCCATAGGGCATGGTTACCAGTTCACATACCCACCTGCAACTTAAGACAATGCCTGCTTACCCACATCCTTACCAGTAGTTGTTATTAAAAAGTTGGATTTTTGCCATTCTGATAGAGGCAAAATTATATATCAATGTGATTTAGTTTGTATTTTTCTTATTATGAGTAAGACTACCTTTAATATCTTTAAGAGTCATTTGTATTTCCTTTTGTGTTCACATCTTTTGCCTATTTTTCTACTGCATTATTCATCTTTTATCAATTTCTAGGAGTGCTTTGTTAGGGATATTAATCCTTTGACTTTAATGAGCTCTAAATTTTTTTTTTTAATTTGTTGTCTGTCTTTTGACTTTACTTATGGTGGCCATGCAAATTTTTTATTTTTATGCAGTCTAATTTATTAGTTTTTTAGTGGTTTCTGGACTTTGAGTCATAGTTAGAATGCCATCTTCATTCCACAGCAATAATTCACCTATGGTTTCTTCTAGGACTTTTATGGTTTTTTTTTTAATATCTAAATTTTGATTCATTTGGAGTGTATCTTGGTATAAGATGTAAGTTATGAATCCAAGCTAATTTTTTCCCAGATGATTACCCAGTTATTCCAATACCATTTATTTAACAGTTTATCTTTTCCTCACTAGTTTCAGAGGCTATGTTTATCATATCTAAACTCCCATATGGATTTAGCTGTCTATCTGGGTTCTCTTTCTGTTTCATTGGTCTATTTACTCATGTACCAATACCACATTGTTTTAATTACTGGGAGTCTGTGTTTTAATATCTGGTGTGTGGCACCCCCTCTCATCCCCCCCTTTAGTTTTTTTACAATTTTATTTAGCTGTTCTTGTTTATTCCGTATGAGCTTTAAAAAGTCCTTTAACATATGGATCATGCTAAAACTCTGCCCAACTCAGTGTTTTTTTCTGGAGGGTTGCACTTTTAACCACTTAATGTGTCACTGTTCTTTTAATCTGATACTTTACCTGATGATCTGTTTGTTTTTTTTTTTTTTTTGGTGAGGGAGATTTGCTCTGCGCTAACATCTGTTGCCAACCTTCCTTTTTTTTTTTCACTTGAGGAAGATTAGCTCTGAGGTAACATCTGTGCCAGGCTTCCTCTATTTTGTTTGTGGGTCTCCGCCACAGCATGGCCTGACAAGTGGTGTAGGTCCATGCCCGGGTTCCGAACCCAGGCTGCCAAAGCGGAGTGCGCTGGACTTAACCACTGTTACCACAGGGCTGGCCCCTAAAGATCTACTTTTTACTACCTGTTGTGTCAATTATTTCAGTATTCCATTTGCCCATGCCCAAACAGGTGAGGGCAAAGAGACAGAAGATGTGGTGCCTGTGTACACAGAATTTCATCTCAGTGCTTTTATTTTAGACTTAGCCTCTAAGAATGATTTGAGAACTCTCTCTCTAAAAATCCTTATTTCTTCTTTTATTCCATTATGAAGTCTGTCCCAAAGTTGATATCTGTCAAACATTCATGAGAAAACAGGGAGGGGCTCTTAAATGAGTATTAAGCTTTTAAAATCAACATGCAATGGATAAAAGTGCAAGTGCAAGAAATTACCTTATAAAAAAAAAAGATGCTATCTAGCAAAAGAACAGGATTTGACTATTCATTCACTGTTCTAGGCATTGGGTATGTAGCAGTGAAAAAAACGGACAGATATCCCCGCATCCCCCCATCATGTAACGTATGAACTCTCTAACCTAACTAGGGTCTATCTAGTTTATAGTGAGAATGCACCCAGAAAAAGAATATACCAATTGAAGAGGAAGAGCTAACATAGAAACCTATCTAGTGGAGAAGGTGCCCTCAATGTGAATGAATCTTGGTCTGCTTGACAACGCCATTAAGTTGTCACAGACTGATTAAAATCATCCACCTAACACCCCTTGGTCAGAGGAGAGCCAGCATTCACCATGCAACATTCTGATATAATTTAACTTTCCATGTGGCTTTCCGTCACAGAATATACTTCCAAATGAGTAAGTGTTCTGCTCCCTTTGACAGGTTTTAAGTCTGCAAACCCAAAGCCCAGACTCTGGGCTAGTGAATTCACCAAGGGGATAGTATACCAAGGATACTCAGTAACACAAACTGGCCGTGGTGTAAGGCATTATTTGTTTATCCCGAATGTGCCCTTTTTGTAACTCAAGGAATGCATTCAAGGAGCACCATGACTTGGGACTGCAAAGAGACTGGAGAGACTGTTATAGGTTAGCAAGGTTCATGGGAAATTCAGGTTCAGAGTCAAGAAAGGTCATACTGACAGGGATCAGTAGAGAAAGGGAGGGATTTTGTGGCTCAGATAGGCTAAAGAGAAACAGGTCACAGATCTAGCTGAAGAGAGCAGGCATCTGATCTCCAGTTCTGACTAGGCTAAAGTTTGGAGGCAGAAGATCCATTCTGGAGATAAAGAGTCTAATATTCTGAGTGGTAGGGCAGCCAGGGTCAAAAAGAGCAGACCAGGTTTGGAGGCCGAAGAACTAATGTTGGCAAGGTATCATCAGTTTCTGGGAAAACAGAGGATAGGTCCCAGCCACAGGTCAAAGAAAAGAGATAAGGAAGCCAGCTTTGGAGGAACCAGGTAGATACCATTAGGAGTTGCTGAGTCACTGGATTTGGATCTGAGGACTTTGAACCCCTACTTGATGACCTGGGTAGCCAATCTCAGAACCTCACACTGAATGAACCCACCATCAGTGCCCAGGCCAGAGGAGCTAGGCAACAGATGGGGGAATCAACACAGAGATCTAGGTTGGGGGCAGAGACATCATTTGCAGACTTCAAGGTATTTTGACCCTTTGGTGCAAGGGCTCTTCATAAATCCCTGCTAAGGGCCAAGAGTAGGGCTAGTATAAGGGTGTTGCTCTGAACCCACAGACACATGACTAGTATCTAGCCCAGTGTCTGGTACATAATAGGCACTCAACAGACATTGACTGAATTCCATTCCCTTATCTTCATTGTCCCTCTTTAAATAAATGTTTCCTCACTTTAATCAGTTTATTTATAGTCTTTGTGAGAATTCCACTATTTCAGCCTGATCTTTTCCAATTGCTTCTCCATCTGGACCTTGAGAAGTCTTAAGTAGCATTATGCACAGTTAGAAATGTTTTTAATTAATAAAGTTCTCACTTAACATGGGATAAAAAATGGAAACATATATTAGATATGTCTTTTACCAGACCTATACTAGTCTATATTTTATCATGCAGTAATCTAAAGTGAAAGCAAAGTATTTTTTTAACAAAGTTTTTTAGTGGGAAATCTTGATAAAGTTTCAAATATTAAGATCCATTTAGTTCTAATGTAAGATTACCTTTATTGTTAAAAAAATAAAAGCAATATTCTAGTAATATCCACTATGTAAATATAAATGAGAAGCTTTTTCTTAAAGTACTTCTCATGTTCTAGGGTGTACTATTGCTTATTCCTTTCCTCTTAAAAGGGGTTAAGTGTTCAAGCCCAACAAAGAGCAGTTCTCTTGGATTTTGGTAAAAGAAGAAATTTGGGGATGCACAAGCAAGTGTGCCTGATCTAAGCAGCTAAACGTGGTAATAAGCATAGTTATTAACAACGTGCCTGATATATTCAAGAAAGAATTGGCATAACTAAATGTGCTTGATGTGTATATTGTAAGAATCAAAACTTCTTACAGTCCACAGCTCTGTGTGTAACACACTCTGGATGTTTTAATGATCAGCTCAATTAAATGGGTTAATTGTAAAAAGGAAAAAGAGCCAATGAAAGACATCTACAGAAATCAGTTGGAATTCTTAGACAAATAACTGCAGAAGTGGACACCTATTTTGTGTATTTTCAACAGAAACACAGAAACATTCACAGGCAGCCTTTTAGTGTTGAATTGGGCTTAGATAAATGATGGTACAAAATTTTCAGTGATGTTGCCTCTTCCCCAGACATTTTTAACTTTCAAATTATCAGGGTGTTAATTTCATCATGTTGCCTTAAAATAAAAGGACGTTTGGGTATTTTAGAACCAGTAATCACCATTCCTTGCCTTCTCTTAGCCTTTAATATTTCACATAAAGAGTAGCTTTGTTAGTGTACTTAGCAGCACAAGTAAATTTGGGAGCTAAAGGGAATTTTAATTTTCCTTTCCATACCGTACCTGCAACATTTCACAGGGTGTACACGATCGTTTACTATGAGAGAAAGATAGTTTGATACAATCATAGTTTTTCATATTCTAGATGTGTTTACGACACTTGTGCTTTAGGATTACTTTTAAAAGGGGGGAAGAAGTGAAAAATAGGCACTTAGAACATTTTTATTCTTTCCAATAAAAAATAATAGTTCAAATAAATACTAGCAACTTTATCATAAAAATAGATTATGGCTTTTATCAGTTAATGCTGGGTATTTCAATTTTCCTGCCAGTACTAACAGAATAATAAAGTGTTTATACATCATAGGATGAGTATAATAATTGCATGATTTTAGTGATATTTTTATCACTGTTTTTTAAAAAATATATCTACCCTTGACTGACCTAATATTGAAGAATTACAGTACTTGCTGAAAGCACGATTTAAAAGAGTTTTAAGCATATGCTGAGTCTGCCTTTAAGTTCTTCTAAGTATTAGTAACAAAGACAATGTGACAAGTAGCGTGTTCTGAAAGCTATTTAGAATAACAACTTTATTATAATTCTTTTAAGGCAACGTGAATAATCAGTGCAAATTTTGCTTCAGTGTAGAATTTTCCCTGATAGTAACTATTTTAAATGATACGTGACCCAAATTCTTCCATATACTGACAGGCAAGAATGTTTTTATGTGAGATTATGCAGGGTAAAGGTGTCCTGTACAAATGAAAAACCCAATCATGACCCATTTAAAACTTGAGATCCCAATTTTAAATACCATCAAGGTAAGAGAAGTAGACTTGATCTCTGTGAAATCCATGCCCAGAGATCAATTATTCCTGAAGACCAAAATGGGAAGTAGGAGACATGTGAAATGCCTTTCATCATGTAGAGAACTTATTAATATAAGTTCCTTTTCATCTGCCCCTCCCTCTGTCCCAAGATGTGAGATTTCCTAGGCAGAGCAGAATACTTTCTCTCACGTAACAGTACTTACTCTAGTACCTTATCTCTGTTTTGTAGAAAATCAGAGCATTTAACCTCCCTCACAGAGCCATGTACCATAGTCTCCTATTAGAGGCAGTTTTATAATTGCAGAATATATATCTGTATCTTGGAAGTTTTAGAATAGCATGGTTGGGGAACTAGTATTTCTTGACATGTGTTTCACCTAAATGAAAGATGACTTTTGAACAATCGTCTGGAACATGCCCTTTTACATGGCTAAGAGACAGGAATCATGTTATTAAATATTGCAATGCTATTCCCATTTTAAACATGCAGCTTCCAGGAGGCTGCTTACAGAGCTATTTAAAAATAAAGGGGCAGGGCCGGCCCCGTGGCTTAGTGGTTAAGTGCGCGTGCTCTGCTACTGGCGGCCTGGGTTCGGATCCCGGGCCCGCACTGATGCACCGCTTCTCCGGCCATGCTGAGGCCGCGTCCCACATACAGCAACTAGAAGCATGTGCAACTGTGACATACAACTATCTACTGGGGCTTTGGGGGAAGAAAAAACAGGAGGAGGATTGGCAATGGATGTTAGCACAGAGCCAGTCTTCCTCAGCAAAAAGAGGAGGATTAGCATGGATGTTAGCTCAGGACTGATCTTCCTCACACACAAAATATAAATAAATAAAAAAAAATAAAGGGGCATTATTTTAAATATGGTTGGAAGTAACAGGAAAACTGTTAGGATTCCACATGGTCTTTTGGCTCAAGGGCCAGGGGTATTTATTATTAATCCCCTTTTGAGAACCTCTTGTTTGTTCCTTAAATGTAATGAATATGCAGTGAGTTGGGAAAGGTGCAGTCTTGCTGAAGTCCTGAGGTAATGGATATTAGATTTCATTGGGCTGGAAAACTATGCAAAAATCTCTAAATATAGCAGAGGAGGTTTTATAATGTAAGTCAACTCTATCAACGTTTTTAACATTATCAACTTTTCACTGACGTGTGTTGAACTGTTGGCAAAATTTAGGAGATTCTTTGAGAGACCAACCATCTAGGCCTTAAACAAACTCTAAGGAGCCAATTACCTTAGTCTGTTGAGATTCTGCTCCATTATAACTCAACACTGGAGTTGCAATTGCAGTTTCGAGATGTCAATTGTATTTAGAGTCTACCAGCGTGGAGCTCAGAATCTGAGGGACCTGAAGAGGTAAGGATTTGAGGAATACTTTAGTCCAAAAGCCTTAAAAAACCATCAGACCATATACTGTATACTGAATTATGCATAAAAGTCTGTGCAAACTACAACATATATTGCAATAACATTCTCAAAAAACCCGAGGATATTTTAGCATTATTATTTAAGTTATATAAAATACATCTTTATAAAAGTACAGATTTTTTTAAAGTTAAATTACACCCACTGAAATAGGCAGCCAGGCTCACGTTTTAGTACTAAAATGAGGTTTTATCAATCTAAATTATTGCTTAGTCCTACGGAGCCATTAGAGACCTGTAACAAATAAAAATCAAGTCCTATTTCTTAAGGAAAAGTGCCCTAAAAATTCAGCTGTCATTAAGTTAGTCTTTCTGAAGCTTTTCAACTGATGAATCTTCCATAAAACTGTTAACGATGCTACCCATGGCTTGGTTTGTCAGGATCCGAAATTGAGTCTGGTTGTAAAGTTCCTACTTGTGCCAGGAAGCTGTTAGTTTGTTGTCCCCAATCATAGTAGTCTGGAGCAAAACTTAAAAAGAAAAAGATATTTCAGTCACTTAAAACATTATACTTACTATTGATGACATATCTATTTTAGGTAGAAAGAACTGGGATTTTGTATAAACTATAGACAGTCCCAAAGTTTTTTAAAATAGCTTCTTTAAGCCCATTTTCCCACAAAACAGTGCTATGCACAGTGGCTAGAAGTCTGCCCACAAAAGTCTACTGAACTCTATAGAGCCCAGAAGTGTAGTACTGCTAGAACTATAAAGCAATCACTAGGTATGACAAAAAGTTTTAGCTACAAATTGTATTTGAATCCTAAAGTATAGCTCGCCACCTGTGTGTCTTTGGGCAAGTAACTTCTGTGCCTCAATTTTATCATCTGTAGAATGGGAGTATTACTAGTAACTACCTCGTTGGGTTTCTGTGAGTTAATACCTGTAAAGTGCTTAGAACAGTATCTTAATATACAGTTAGCACTCAATAACGTATGTTTTTATTATTATTATTTTCCTCTATGTAGTCTTCCACATAGGTGGTGAGGACTCCCTAGGCTCTATGTCACTTCTGGCAGGTGAGGGGTTAGGGCTGCTCCAGCAGGGTACGAAGGGACAGGCATTGCTGGTAGAAAATGCAAAGGGGTAACTGAATAAGAGAACAGTTTTAGGGAAGAGGGTTAGGATAACCTTTGACTTCGGAAGGCCTTCTTGTTTTTTTGGCTAACTTCCAGATTAGCTATGTTCTTTACATCTGCTGGCCTGGTGGATTGGTCTACTTTCCTCTTTTTTCCCAAACACCATCTTTTATTCTATCTGACCAGAATTTCTCTGCTCTCTGAACCACTGAGAAAGCAACGTATTCTCCCAGCTTTTTCTCAGTTCTCCTGTTTTGTATGGACTTTTACTGTCAGTGATAAGGAGCAGAAAGGCAAGCATATCTTCTTTTATCCTTTCATCCCAGAGGAAAAAATAAAGTTTACATTAAAATGTTAATGATAGGTCTTTAAATTCACAAGGATTGTGTAAGATAAGCTTTCACTTCTAAGAAACACAGCCTGAAGCTTCTCTTTCACAGGAACAGTACAGGGTCCTGGGAGGACAAGCAGAGAGAAGAGGGGCTCGCAAGCACTAGGTCAGCCCTTTGTGCTCCTCTTGCCCTTGCTGGCCTTGAAGTCCCAGATCCACAGGCTGAAAGAGGGGACATGACGGCCCTTGGGCAGTCGAGTGTGGCTAAAGCATCAGCAGGCTGAGGAAAGGGGAATAGCTTTCCACTCCTCCTGTCTGCAGACCATGCCTGTGGCAGAGGTAAACAAATCGCATAATCCTGGGAGAGGGTCTCTGCTCTGGTTGCAGTTGGTTTCACGTACTCAGGTGCTTCCCCTCCTCTTCCTATCTGCCTCACTCTACCTCCAGATCCAGAGTTTTTATAGGGGAATTTTCTTTTAGTTTGAGCCCATTTCAGTGGACAGTGGTGCAGCCCTGCCCTTCCTAACCATGCCTCTCTAACACGAACTGGGGTCTTACCTTCCCTGAAGTCCCTGAGGGGCAATGTTCCAGGCGAGGTCATCATCACTGTCATATCTTCGAGGGTTGTCAAAGAAATAAGATCTGGGACTGAATCCATGGCTGGGGACCATTCCAGGGTTGGTCTAAGAAGACAGTTAACTGTTAGCATACTTTCAGACACTGTGTCTTGCACTAGACAAAGATAAATCAGATATGTTTCTTGCAGGAGACTAAGGATGTTCTATTCATCTGGATGGAGGATGTACCTGTTCAGCTGGAGTGTTCACTTCAGTTGCTTTTATATTTAAGAGAGATTAACTTTTTCTTTCATCAGTATGGACAAAATTTTCTTTCAGAGTCCTGTTTACAACAATGAATTATCATTGTTTTAATCTCTTATCAAAAAGCCAAACAATAACCAAAAGCCAAACTAGAGTAGATAGTCCCAAATTAGATATAAACCCAAACAATAATGTGAGCATTCACAAAAAATTACAATAATGAAATAATAATGATGAGACAATTTTGAGAGGGTTTATCCTGCCTCTATAATCATTTCATCCTGTTTCTGTCCCCAAGCTGAGTTTACCTCTCAAAAAACTTCAAATGACTAGTTTCAAGTAAGCAAAAGATCAGAACTGTATTATATTGCAAACCAAATCTGGCATAAAATCCAACATCCTTGTACATATCATTAGTGGTCTACTTAAAAGTTATTCAATAGAGTATTAAACAAGGTTGTTATATGATGGGCACCTATGTATGAATTCCTGCTTTTCTAAGACTAATCTAGCCAAATATAGAAAGCAAAGTGGAACTTATACAAGGTATTAAAATTTACTATTTGTAGCAAGAATGTCTATGCAAAAGAATGAAGTTAGACCCTTACCTGACATCATATACAAAAAAGTAACTCAAAATGGATCAAAGACCTAAATGTAAGAGTGAAAGCTATAAACTCTTAGAAGAAAATACAAGGGCAAATCTTCATGACCTGGAATTTGGCAAAGGATTCTTAGATATGACACCAAAAGCATGAGCAACAGAAGAAAAAACAGATAAACTGGACTTCATCAAAATTAAAAACTTTTGTGCTTCAAAGGATACCATCAAGAAAGTTAAAAGACAGTCACAGAATGGGAGAAAATATTTGCAAATCATATATTTGACAAGACATATCTAAAATACATAAAAAATACTTCCAACTCAATAATAAAAAGACAAATAATCCAATTTTAAAATGGGCAAAAGATCTGAACAGACATTTCTCCAAAGAAGATACACAAATGGCCAATAAGCACATGAAAAGATGTTCAACATCATTAGTCATCAGGGAAATGCAACTCAAAAGCCAATGAGATACCATTTCACACCCATCAGGATATCTACAATTAAAAAGTCAGATAATAACAAGTGCTGGGGAGGATGTGAAGGAACCAGAACCTTCATGTACTACTGTTGGGAATATAAAATAGTACCCCTTTTCTGCAAAACAGTCAAAAAGTTAAACATAGAGTTACCATATGACCCAGCAATTGCACTCCCAGACGTAGACCCAAGAGAAATAAAGATATATATGTTTGCATGGAAACTAGTACATGAATGTTTACGGCAGCATTATTCATAACAGCCAAAAGATGGAACAACTCAAATATCCATCAATGAATGAACAGATAAACAACATGTGGCATATCCATACAATGAATTATTTGGCCATAAAAACGAATGAAGTATACATCCTACAACATGGATAAACCTTGAAAACATGTTAAGTGAAAGAAGCCAGTCACAGAAAACCACATATGATCTCATTGATATGCAAGTCCAGAATAGGGAAATCTATAGATACAGAAAGTAGATTAGTAGTTGCTTGGGGGCCAGGGAGGGAGGGGGAGGATGGGGAGTGATAGATAAAGGGTATGAGGTTCCTTTCTGAGGTGATGAAAGTGTTCTAAAAACTGTGGTAATGGTTGCATGTATCACAATATACCCAAAACCATTAAACTGTACACACGAAATGGGTGAATTGTATGGCATGGGAATTATATCTCAATAAAACTGTTTAAACAAAAAAATATATGATATGGAGAGAGATTCTCAAACTTTACAGTGCATTCAAATCACTTGGGGGTGCTAGATTCCCAGAACCTACCCCAGAGATTTGATCTGGGTCCAAAACATGGCCTAAGAATTGGTACTTACACCAAGTACCCTTCAGGATTCTGGTGTGGATCGCAAAGAGCTACACCGTTACATTGGCTCTAATGATGCCAAGTGTAGAGGCTTGTTTGTACAGACTGAATTATGGATACAAATGGTAAATAACATTTTAAAGAAATGCCCCACCTGCAGTCTGCTTTTTTTTTTTGGGTGAGGAGATCAGCCCTGTGCTAACATCTGCCAGTCCTCCTCTTTTTTTTCTGAGGAAGACTGGCCCTGGGCTAACATCCGTGCCAATCTTCCTCCACTTTATATGGTACGCCACCACAGCATGGCTTGCCAAGCAGTGCGTTGGTGAGCACCCGGGATCCGAACCGGCGAACCCTGGGCTGCCGCAGCAAAGCGAGAGCACTCAACCGCTTGTGTCACTGGGCCGGCCCCAGTCTGCTCTTTTAAAGTCAATGAGTGAGTGACATCAGCACCATGGTGCCGTAAGTCATTCCTTTTTTCTCTCCCCTTCAATTTACAACTAATTGGACATCCATAACTGAACAGAAGTGCCTCGGCACAGCACACCAGGACACCCAAAAGATCCATCCATCTGTACATCCAGAAGTGGGTGTACCAGACCTCGAAGGAGGCTGCAGAGCCAGGGGACTGGTGGGGGAGGCGGCAGCGGAGGGCGGTACCAGGCCAGCGGTGATGATGGTGAGTAGGGGTCTGCGCAGCTCCATGTGCTGCAGGTGGAGGGACCCACTGCTCTCTCTGAGGAGAGAGGCAGTGACTAGAGGGAAGGAAAGGAAAGAGAAGAAGGCCAACAGAGAGCCGAAGAAAGGCATTTCTTGCTGTCTGCCTCAGAATTCTGGCAAGATATCTGCCCATGGACCTCTGGGATCCCCTCACATTTGAGGATTCTCCTACCGGGACATAGGCAAACCCAAAGCCCCAGGTACTAAACACACACATTCCCCTACTCTGCCGCCACCCCCTTTTTTTGTTTCTCCTCCAGCTTTTTTTTTTTTTTTATGCACATGATCCCAACCTTAGTGGCAAGTCAGCTGTGGTTAAGAAAATCCAAAAACTTGTGCTATACCACCACCTTCTGGAACACAAGAGGAAGGCTCCTAATTACCAATCTGTTGAATTGTTAAAATCAGAGTAAACAAAGCCTTACCTAAATGAGAGAGGTGTTGCTACTTCAAATACCACGGCAGAGGCACTTTTCATCAAATGCTATGAAAAATCACGGTAATATGGTATCACAAAAAGAAAATGACAGTTTCCGGCAACTGAACCCAAACACATGGAATATTGTGGTTTAACTGATAAAGAATTCAAAATAGCTGTTATGAAGAAATTCAGTGAGCTGCAAGAAAACTCAAGAAAGGCAATACAGTGATCTCAGGGATCAAGTTAATGAATAGAAGGAGTACTCTACCAAAGAGACTGAAATTCTAAAAATGAACCAAACAGAAATTCTGGAGCCAAAGAACTTAATAAATGAGATGAAGAATGCATTAGAAAGCATTAGAAATAGAGCCAATCAGAAGGAAAAGAGACTAAGTAAGTTTGAGGATAGGAAACAGAAATGATTCAGGTGGAAGAGGAGAGAGATTTTAAAAAGTGAAGAAACCCTACAAGAACTCTCAGACTCCATCAAAAGAGCCAACATCAGATAAATGGGTATACCAGAAGGAAAAGAGAAGGAGAAGGGAGCAGAGAGCTTATTTAAAGAAATAATAGCTGAGAACTTCCCAAACTTGGGGAAGGAACTGGATATACAAGTCTATGAAGCCAAGAGAACACCTTATTATCTCAATGCAAAAAGACCTTCTTGAAGACACATTATAGTCATGCATTGCTTAACGATGGGGAAACCTTCTGAGAAATGCTTTTGTTAGGTGATTTTGTCATTGCGTGAAGATCATAGAGTGTACTTACACAAACCTAGATGGTATAGCCTACTACACACCTAAGCTATATGGTACTAACCTCAAGGGCCCACCATTGTATATGCAGTCTGTCGTTGACCGAAACATCATTATGCAGCACGACTGTATATTAAAACTGTAAAACTGTCAATGATAAAGAATTTTAAAGGCAGCCAGGTGAGAAAAAAAAAGACAGTAACCTACAAAGGAACCCCCCATTAGGTTATTAGCAGATTTCTCAGCAGACACTCTATAGGCCAAGAAAGGGTAGAATGACATATTCAAAGTATTGAAAGATAAAAACTGCCAGCCAAGAATACTCTATCCAGCAAAGTTATCCTTCAGATATGAAGGGGAAATAAAGGCTTTCCCAGACAGACAAAAGCTTAGGGAGTTCACCACCACTACACCTGGCTTATAAGAAACATTGAAAGGATCTTGTCAAACTGAAAGAAAAAGATGAAAGTATACAAAACTCTGATAAAGGTGACAAACAGAATTAGAAAACTGTAACTCTCTTTTAGAATAGTATATTAAACAATAATAACACAAAAGGTTAAAGGAAAAAAGCATTAAATATAACTATAGCTACTACAACTTGGTAACAAAATTACAGCATAAAAAGAGATAATTTGTAACATCAAAAATATAAAAGGGGAAGGGTAAAAGGGTGAAACCTTTTTGGGTCAATGAAGATAAACTGCTATCAGCAGAAAAAGGACTATTTTATCTATGAGATTTTTATGTAAACCTCATGGTAACCACAAAGCAAAAATCTAGAGCAGAGACACAAAACATAAAAAAAAAAGGAAGACTGAGCACATCACCATGGAAAACGACCTACTTAGAAAGGTAGAGAAAAACCAAAGAAAAAAGCAACAATTTAGAGACAAAATCACCAGAAGGCAAAAGATAAAATGGCAGAAGCAAATTCTTACATATCAATAATCACCCTAAATGTAAATGGATTGAACTCAACAATCAAAAGGCACAGAATGGCTGTATGGATTAAAAAAAACAAGACCCAACTATGCGTTGCCTATAGGAGACTC